ATCACTTTTCTTTGTGTTTTATTTTGCCATTTGGGCAGGTTATAGTTTCTGTTTTCCTCTGGAGCCCTTACCCAAAGATCCAACATCAATTTTCACATACAATATTGCTCGCAGTATTGTAACAGAAATGCCTTAAAATGATGGACAAGTGTCAAGTCGCAAATGCCAAATGGTGTCAATCAGGGTTGGATATAAGAACATTTTTTCAAAAATAAAATGTTCTTATTTCTTATATTAATATAAGAACATTTTTTGCAATATAAGAACATTTTCCAAAACTTTGATGACGTTATATTAACAAATCATCCAAAATCCTAAAATGACGATTCAACTTCAATTTTAGATGTTGCTGTAATATAACCTCTTGCTTTAAAAATTATAAAAATAGTTGTTACTGCTGTATTTATGCGACTATTATCTGTATATTTTATTTTCAGGATGAATGTCAAATAGTTAAAATTTACTACTTCGTCTTCGACGTAGAATAATTAATGAGAATAATATAAGAAAATATAAGAACATTTTTGCCTCCCAAAAAAATGTTCTTATATAATATAAGAACATATAAGAACAACTAATATAAGAACATTTGCCAACCCTGAACAGTACCAACTTATAGTCTTATCCTAGGGTTTGAATGTATTGACATAGGAGGCCCAATATATGCATGGTTGTAATGGGCACAAAAAAGATCAAAACTGTTCCTAACAAGTGTCTCTGTAGGAGTAAGTGTTGAATAAAAGCTTGCAAGGCTCACACTACAATTTTGAGTTTGATTTTAGTAGACACTGTATTTAATCTTTTTTCATGGCTAACAACATAGGAGGCCCAATAGATAGTTGTACACTAAAGTTCATAGTTCATATATAAAAAGGCCAGCACAACTACAACGTCTGTGAGCAGGCTAAGCACAGATAGACATGATTGAATTTTTTTTGACAAATATGAATTTATGGATAGTACATACAGTAGAAATAGATAGAAGTCAATGGGTGGGAAGGGATGCCTAATGTCTGAAATGACATATTTTAATATTTGAAAGGAAAAAAATAATATTGTTCAGTAGCATGTAGACCAAATTATATAGATAATATAGTATGTGACTGATTGGATGTATTCTATTACACTTTTCCAGATGCCAAGAAAAATCCTGAGATGTGTAGAAAACTTGAAGAAGAATGCCCTAGTTGGTTAAATGTTATGCCACAAATGGGAATCACCTTTGTTTGAAGCAATTAGTATAATATTCCACTTAACCCATTGAGTGGCAGCACTCTCCACTTGATGAGTAAAATCATCTGGTATTAGACAGAGTGAAATACTAAAGTAGGGTGCATCAGAGTGCATGCCACTTAATTGAAGGGTTAACTCATTCAGCACTCTCCCCTTCACAAATAAAATTGTCTGCTATTTAGATAATAAAGTAGGGTGCATTGTAGGTTGAATAATAAAGTAGGGTGCATTGGGTTGCATTGCAACTTGCATATATACTGGTCAGCCCATAGAGTGCCAGAGCTCTCCCCTTGCATTGACAAGTATATTTGTCTGGCATTTGACAGGAAAATTATATGGTGCATCGCCACTTATCAAAAGGGATAATAGGGTTCTCTCAAGGGGGGGGGGGGTTAGGTTACACTCACAAATGCATAATTGAAACAATTGGCTGGTTTGACATTTTAATTGATTATTGCAATATTTTCACACTGATTTTGTCATTTAATTTTTTAATTTTATCTTTAATTAATTAAAATATGAAAATAATGTAATCTAATAACCCATAAATCAATATACTGTAATAAAATTGTATTTTATGTGGATGTAGTTAATTAAATATATTCATCAACAGTTTGTGACTCCTCTTTCCCAAGTTGCTCAATGGTGCTTTATTTCTGAAAAAAAATTTATGTGAGAAATTAATATTACACAAAAACAACGAAATACTTTATATAATAATTGTTGTGAAGTAAATTGCACAATGTCGGAAATTTAGTCCTCTGGGAACTTTGCCCAGGGTGATGTAATTCCGGGGACGAATGTAACAAACATGTTGTTGATCGAAAAACACTAGCGAAGCGTGAACTACATATCAGATTATATTTGCAAATTTATTTTTGTTTTATTATATATTTTATTAATTTTGTGATTGTGTTGTGAAGACCCGTTTCCAACAGTTGTGGTTATTGTTTGACACTGGATCCCAACGTTTAAATGCCATTAATGATTAATCCAACACATTACACATGATTATGTACACATAACACTCTTGCTAACAATAAGTTTACATGAACCTTGCCTGCACCCAACCATAACCTTAACTGGCCCTCATCTTAACTGGGAAGGCCACCTGTTTGCACAAAGCCGGTCAGAATGCTCTTGAAATTCCACTCATTTGAACCCAGGGCTTAAGCAGATATATGCTACCAACAATGAAGGTGATAGTCTTGACAACTTGGGCCCGAGGACTTGCTTGAATTCAACTGAAATTTGTATAATTTTAGCATGTTGAAAGAGTGAGGAAAATAGTTCAGACAAATAGCATGTAAATATTGGGGTTCGGTGTCAGGCAAATAACCATGGTGTAAAATATTTTCCTCCAAAAATGCATGAATTACCAACATCAAATATCACTCAAGAATGTTTCATTTTCTCAACCCATTAAGCTGCAGCGCTTCCCCATTGACAAGTAATACTGTCTGGCTTTAGACAAGTAAAAAATGTAAGTTGGGCACATTGCGGCTCAATGAGTTAACTAGAGATTACAGTCAGATATTTTTGGTTAACCCAATGAGCTGCAGAGCTTCCCCATTGACAAGTAAAATTGTCTGGCTTTAGACAAGTAAAAAAGAATAAGTAGGATGCATTGTGGCTCAATGGGTTAATTATGAAATTGATTTTACTCATGCAATTTCTAGAGAAAATGAAACTAGCTTCAACAGAAGTTGGTAGAATTGAACTGTCAATTTTTGAATCTTGATAGACTTGATAATTCTACACATATTTATAATTTCATTGCCTGATTACCATCAGTGGCCAGTATTTAATATTAGTACATGGATTAAAAACATTCAAAGCCATGATAGTTCTGGCTTAAAAAGGTCTTCCTCTATAGCAATACTAATATAAATAGAAAGCACTTTAATTTTACTAAGTAGTATCATGAAGCAGATCGTGGTCAACTGGCATTTTATATCGTAAAAATTATTTGAAATAACAAATGAAACTAAAATCTGAAATTTCAACCATTTTCTTTCGAGGAAGACTGTTTCTCGTATTAATATAGTTTGGGCAACCTAATTACATACACCAGTTGCTAAAATTGTCCACTACACAGTACAAATAGACTGTTTATTTCGCTTTGTTTTGACCTAGCGGCTAGCTACTCTATCACAAATTAATATTGAACATATATAAACAGTATATTTTTACCATTACTTACAAATAACGATTTTCCAAAATTTCCGTGAGGTTTGAATATTCGTTCCCTGTCTTTCACTAGCCAGGATGATTCTTGCCACTTGTGCAACTCGAAACAATTGTTAAAATGTCGAAGCGAAGGCAAACACCAAGGAAAACTCCAAAACAAAAAGCTAAAATATTTTTGCGAAAATCAGGGGGATGTCAAAGTGGTAGCGGGCTCAAAATGAGCCTTGCTCAGTGGTAATTACCACGAGGATTTAGGACCAGTGGCGTCATTCTGGCGTCAGCAAACGTGAAAATCCTTGAAAATCCGCCATGTTTTTGGCGACACTTGTTTGACTGAAGAGAGATGGGAGCACCTCCTCCAGATATATTATAGCTCAGTGGTTTCACCGCCCGTGTTTTACTACGCCCTGGTGTGATGCAGGTCCCCCCGCATATTTTCATTTTTATTCGAATTCGATGTGGTTTGATCAGGCATGCATGTTTGTTTTGACTTCTTTTTAAAATTACTACGTAAAAAGGTACAATTCAAGCTGAATTCACAATGGATTTGGGATCTGTGCTATTACTATAGACAAAATCTTTTTTCCGGATTCTTAATCACGGCTGATTATATGGGGAATGTTGTAGTGTAAGATATAAGTCTGGGATCTCACTCACGAGGATCGATTGTTTTTGCAAAACAACTTCGTTCGTTCATAAGATGAAAAAAAAAGACGAAGACAAAGTTTTTTAAACGGCTGTTGTTGTAAAACCTGCAACTGGAATGTGTGTTTGGAAATCAGGTATGTTCAATCACACGTATTTTTGTCAAGTTCCACCAGATGAATTGATAAAAACAGCAAGTTTTTTTTTTCAAGCGATAGTTTGTTGTCGCAGTTTTACAAGCGCGGAAAATTTTTAACTTTTAAATATTTTATGCACAATATATGAAAACTAGTTTTATTTTGATGTTTTTGTATAATTTAAGTACCTAGTTTTCTGAAAATCACCAAATGAGAATGGGCTTTTTTAATTTTTAAGCATTTTTTTGGCCTTGTTTCTGACATGTGCATGCCAAATCTACACATGAAATACAAGTAAGCGATATTTTGTTGTCGCAGTTTTACAAGCGCGGAAAATTTTTAACTTTTAAATATTTCATGCACAATATATGAAAACTAGTTTTATTTTGATGTTTTTGTATAATTTAAGTACCTAGTTTTCTGAAAATTACCAAATGAGAATGGGATTTTTTAATTTTTAAACATTTTTTTGGCCTTGTTTTCGACTTGTGCATGCCAAATCTACACATGAAATACAAGCAAGCGATAGTTTGTTGTCGCAGTTTCACATGCGCGGAAAATTTTTAATTTTTAAATATTTCATGCACAATATATGAAAACTAGTTTTATTTTGATGTTTTTGCATAATTTAAGTACATAGTTTTCTGAAAATCACCAAATGAGAATGGGCTTTTTTAATTTTTAAGTATTTTTTGGCCTTGTTTTTGACATGTGCATGCCAAATCTACACATGAAATACAAGCAAGCGATAGTTTGTTGTCGCAGTTTCACATGCGCGGAAAATTTTTAACTTTTAAATATTTCATGCACAATATATGAAAACTAGTTTTATTTTGATGTTTTTGTATAATTTAAGTACCTAGTTTTCTGAAAATCACCAAATGAGAATGGGCTTTTTTAATTTTTAAACATTTTTTTGGCCTTGTTTTCGACTTGTGCATGCCAAATCTACACATGAAATACAAGCAAGCGATAGTTTGTTGTCGCAGTTTTACAAGCGCGGAAAATTTTTAACTTTTAAATATTTCATGCACAATATATGAAAACTAGTTTTATTTTGATGTTTTTGTGTAATTTAAGTACCCAGTTTTCTGAAAATCACCAAATGAGAATGGGCTTTTTTAATTTTTAAACATTTTTTTGGCCTTATTTTTGACATGTGCATGCCAAATCTACACATGAAATACAAGCAAGCGATAGTTTGTTGTCGCAGTTTTACAAGCGCGGAAAATTTTTAACTTTTAAATATTTCATGCACAATATATGAAAACTAGTTTTATTTTGATGTTTTTGTATAATTTAAGTACCTAGTTTTCTGAAAATCACCAAATGAGAATGGGCTTTTTTAATTTTTAAACATTTTTGCCCTGATTCAGTTTGACATGTCCATGCCGAAATCTACACATGGAATAGCATTGCCTTCGACTTTGCGTTTTTGAAATCTGACACCCTATGAAAAAAGCTGGAAAAAAGTATGTTTAAGCAAAAAAGCCCATTCTCATTTGATGATTTTCAGGAAATTACGTACTTAAATTATCCAAAAACATCAAAATAAAGCTAGTTTTCATATATTGTGCATGAAATATTTAAAAGTTAAAAAGTTTCCGCGCTTGTAAAACTGCGACAACAAACTACATCGCTTGCTTGCATTCGATATGGCATTGTGTAGACTTGGCATGCACATGTCAAAAATAAGGCAAAAAATGTTTAAAAATTAAAAAAGCCCATTATCATTTGATGATTTTCAGAAAATTACGTACTTAAATTATCCAAAAACATCAAAATAAAGCTAGTTTTCATATATTGTGCATGAAATATTTACAAGTTAAAAAGTTTCCGCGCTTGTAAAACTGCGACAACAAACTATCGCTTGCTTGCATTCGATATAGCATTGTGTAGATTTGGCATGCACATGTCAAAAATAAGGGCAAAAAAATGTTTAAAAATTAAAAAAGCCCATTATCATTTGACGATTTTCAGAAAATTACGTACTTAAATTATCCAAAAACATCAAAATAAAGCTAGTTTTTATATATTGTGCATGAAATATTTACAAGTTAAAAAGTTTCCGCGCTTGTAAAACTGCGACAACAAACTATCGCTTGCTTGCATTCGATATGGCATTGTGTAGATTTGGCATGCACATATCAAAAATAAGGGCAAAAAAATGTTTAAAAATTAAAAAAGCCCATTATCATTTGATGATTTTCAGAAAATTACGTACTTAAATTATCCAAAAACATCAAAATAAAGCTAGTTTTCATATATTGTGTATGAAATATTTAAAAGTTAAAAAGTTTCCGCGCTTGTAAAACTGCGACAACAAACTATCGCTTGCTTGCATTCGTTATGGAATTGTGTAGATTTGGAATGCACATGTCAAAAATAAGGGCAAAAGAATGTTTAAAAATTAAAAAAGCCCATTATCATTTGATGATTTTCAGAAAATTACGTACTTAAATTATCCAAAAACATCAAAATAAAGCTAGTTTTCATATATTGTGCATGAAATATTTACAAGTTAAAAAGTTTCCGCGCTTGTAAAACTGCGACAACAAACTATCGCTTGCTTGCATTCGATATAGCATTGTGTAGATTTGGCATGCACATGTCAAAAATAAGGGCAAAAAAATGTTTAAAAATTAAAAAAGCCCATTATCATTTGATGATTTTCAGAAAATTAGGTACTTAAATTATCCAGAAACATCAAAATAAAAATAGGTTTCATATATTATGCATGAAATATTTAAAAGTTAAAAATTTTCCGCGCTTGTAAAACTGCGACAACAAACTATCGCTTGCTTGCATTCGATATGGCATTGTGTAGACTTGGCATGCACATGTCAAAAATAAGCCAAAAAATGTTTAAAAATTAAAAAAGCCCATTATCATCCAAAAACATCAAAATAAAGCTAGTTTTCATATACTGTGCATGAAATATTTAAAGGTCAAAAATTTTCCGCGCTTGTAAAACTGCGACATCGCTGTGAACATGCAATTTGGAGTCTTTTGGCGGACATTTCAGTTGCATATTGTAAGTTCGAAAAGAGAAATAAAACAACCTTTAACATGGTAAAAACGGAATTTTCTGCTTGTTCCTTATAATTGAATATTTTCCCTAACTTTTATATTGCATTTGAATGCCTGAATATGTTAATGAAAATGTTTCCAATGTTTTCTAAATTGACAATTGTTTTCTAACTTTATCAAAACAAGGTCACAAGTTGTGTCATTGTAAATTACGCAAGTGACCTGGTCATAAATCTTTAAATTGAAAAAAAAGCCCACAAAAGCCCATTTTCTAAGCTTTTCAGATCGAAACTATAAGTAATTATAGATAATTTAAAGGGTTGAAGTTAACTTTTTTTCCACTCGGTCTGGCTAAAAAACTCGACTACAATTTGTCATTGCCTGAAAAATGTAAATATATTTTATGATAAAATCGCTATGCCTTCAAATAATTTCACATTTTAAAAATGCTTTTCCAATTCCAGCGATGTAATTTGCAATACTAATTAATTGCCAGAGTCTCTATTTTATAACAAGTTAATTTTTTTCCATTTTAAGGATAAATTTACCTTAAAAATTTGCACTTTTTGATTGCCCTTTAAATATTTTTGTCTCTTGTTTTTGCTTCGCTTCATCTTTAAAACTCCCGCTTCATCCGCGCATTTCGCACGCTCGCGCCAGTCTCCCGTGCATCACACATGGATCAGGCAAATATTAGCGCGTTTCACCACAAGAGGCCCAGGCTCGATTTGCCCGCGCCCGCCTGTGCCTTCCTTATAACGAGGGAAGGACGGAGACATTGAGACCAAAATAGCCCAGACTTGGCATATGTCACACGAAACTATCCTCGATTTTTCGCTTTTAATGCATTTCTTTCACGATTAATCGATATCCCCTGCAAGAATGATACCGTATAATGAGGGAATAACAAAATTCGGTCAAAATATATCCGCGTGCCGGGTTTGCTGTGCAAAAAGCGGAAGTCGTTGAACAACTCAAAATACACTCAACCCTGATTGGACAACGAATATCAACAAACATTTCAAATGTTTTTAACACTACTGTAATAATTTCAATCATACAATCAAAACTATTCACAAACGTTATAAAGTGTAAATATCACTGCATGTAAATATAACTGTGGTACGTTAATATATATAATAAATTGTATTTCACATTGTGTTTGTTAAAAAAAATAAGAATTGTTTGTTGATATTCGTTGTCCAATCAGAGTTGAGTGTATTTTGAGTTGTTCAACGACTTCCGCTTTTTGCACAGCAAACCCGGCACGCGGATATATTTTGGCCGAATTTTGTTATTCCCTCACGGATTTCAGAGCGAATTTAAGCTCTTTGATTAAAGCATCGTTGTTTTGAGAGTTATACGGTATCATTCTTGC